GACACTTCGGTTGAGAATGTCGCATTTGCCGTGTCCCAGGTGCTTCACAGCTTCCAGGGGCGCGTCGGCTGCTCTCCGCATCACCTTGAGCGTCAACTGCTTGCCTTTAACGAGGTTCTCGACTAGTCGCTTGTGCAACTCGTCGCACAATGATCGGATAAAATCCTCGGCCTGATTCTGATTGACAAAGCGAATCCCCCAGTTGACTTCGGCAGAGACGGACTTGCGTATCGTCTGGTTGCCGACCTCGGTCCGATCGATGCCTCGCGCATACTCCCAAAGCTTGACGCCTGTCTTGGGACCCAAGCTGGATGTGAGCCTTTCACGAGTCAACTCCCGAACATCTTTCACAAACTTGACGCCTAGCTCCTCTAACTTCGCACCCATGCTATGACCGACGCCCGGAAGACTTTGGACCGTCAGACCCCCTATGAAATCTAGTAATTCGTCAGGCTTCAGCTGAGACTGACCCGCCGGTTTCGCTTTGCGCAAGGCTACTTTAGCCTGGAGAATGTTGCCACCAATGCCCACGGAGACTGCGCAGCCCGTTTGTTCCTTTACGGTTGTCCGCAATGCTTGCGCAATCTCATCGGCTTTGGCTTGTTCCCGGTAGATAGACCCTTCAGAAACACCTCTCCCATCCGAACCTCCAGCATGCAAGCATTGCATGGTGATGTCGACAAGCGCTTCATCGATGCTCACACTCTGAACAATGCCGTCTATGGCGAGGATGGCGTTGTAGAATTTTCGACTCGCTTCCTCGTATGCCGGAAAATCATAAGGTACGACCTGTAGACTAGGACACGCTTCCAAAGCGCCTTTCATCCACATTCCGTTCTTGATCCCATGCGCACGGGCCTCATAGTTGCAGCTTGCGATCTCAGAGCCCGACCCAGCGCCATGTGCCACCGCCACCGGCTTTCCTTTCAGATGAGGGTGTTTCAATGTCGATACAGCGGCAAAGAAGCAATCAAAATCCACATGCATGATATATCGTCTGGCGCCGGGAACAGGTTTCGCGCCCTTGAACTGGGATTGCGACTTCTCCGCAGCTGCCGATTGGAGTTGGGCTTTAAGATTCGCCTTCCACGTCGAGAGATGATGCAAACGTGACTCTTTGTAGTATTGCTGGATGAACTCCGGGTTGACTACACTGGAGTTGCGCATGCGGGGATCCGTCAAGAGTTGAGCATTGTATTCTTCAGAAGTCAATCCTGGTTTCGAGGGACTAGCTTGTTGAGCCGATGGGAATGTTTTTTGCGAGATATTTGAACGGGGAGAAATAATATCATTGCCTGGGTCGTCCTTTTTAGGTTCAGGATCCCTGGGAGAAGATAGTACATTGGTTTGTTGCGAGACAGGGAGAGGATTGCTCGTCTCGTCCATCGAAAAGCTAGGGAATTCGCCATAGTCCGACTGGGAAGCCAAATTCGGTTGTGTCTCCGTCGACGCTGAACCCGCAGGCTGCCCCAAAGGAGACCTCACGGGACTAGTTGCCTCCGTTGCCTGAAGTTGAGAGGCATACCAGCTATTCCTGCTCTGCTCCCGATAGCCGGCCTGTAAAGTGTTGGTTCGGCTCAGCATACGCCCATTGTCGAACTTCAAGACTTTCTGTGCATGTCCTTCGTCAACGACGCGGAACTGATCCCAGGGGAGCAAGCGACCCGCCTGGACACTCTCCACTACCCATGCTGGTTTCACAATCCGATATCTTCGGAACTCCTCCCGTTTCTTGGGGGTCAGTGAGCTGGCGATGATGTGAGTGGCATCCGTCTTGCCGCTCAGGTACTGGAGAAAACCACCACCATGGCTGACAATCAATTTATGAAGGTCCTGCAGAGACGGTTGGGTGTAACCATTCACGTGCGCTACAACGCCTCGAAAGATGGGGGGATTCTCAGAAGCAGAGGAGCGTATCTCGGCGTCCAAATTCTGCAGCTTGAGCTTCTTCCTGCGCATATAATCGCTGAAGCCACCAAAGGTGGAGGCATCGTATTCTTCGCCACCCTCATCTTCGAATTGATCTATACAGCGGCGCGATAAGCGATTAGCGGTGCGGACGTGCCTGGCAGCGGAATGAGGGGGAGTAAACACCACGTACGGTTCTGAATACGCTTGCGCACGGCACTAGAATTCTGATCCAACACTGAGCCCATGTTGGGCCAAGACAAGTAGCATGATCGGGCGAGGACAGTGAGAGTGTGCCTGTGGTTCCCGATAGCAGCGAATGAATGAATGGGTCTGGAAGCGGCAGAGGCAATGAAGGACCTCGGACTGCATGCCAGCGCGGGGAGTGGAGAAGATACATCACGTGACTCAATAAGAGCTCGAATGATAGAGAGCCTTCTTGGAAGGCGGTGACAGAGTGGGTCTTCCGAGGTGATTGGTTGCCCGGGAAATTCTTGATGAAGGGAAAAAAAAAAAAAAAAGCTCAAAGGCGGTGAAGGACGGTCTCGGTGCAGCCACAGCAATTCCGGGCGTGCTGCGGCGGCGTCAAAACTTTTCCTCTTCCTCGACTCTTCCTCCTCCTTCTGTTCCCTTCGTTCTTCCGTGCTTTCTGGTAGACGATCTTTTATCTGCCTTTTCTCTCTTTCTTTTCGTCGGGCTCTGTTCGTGTCCTTCTTTACAAAACCTCATACCCCCCCCTATATCACATATCACATTCAAAATGTCTGGTGTTCAGCCTGTTGCCGTCTATGCGCTCAGAGTTCCCGCTGGCGGAGCTCTGATTCCCGCCGTGGTCCCTGAGGCTGCTGCCATGGTGAGTCCAATTGACATTGAGACTAAAGACCATCTCGGAAATGATGCTAATGCAATGTGAAGTTCCGTGTGACCATGGCTGCCATCGACCCCGATGAGGCCCCCGAGTACGAGGATGGCTTCGACTCCAACAAGCGTCCTCGCGCCACCCTGAAGCTCGTTCGCCCTCCTCCTGGCTTGGACCTCGAGGACGAGTCTGATGATGAGGACTATGAGGATGACTCCGAGGAAGATTCCGAGGATGACGAGGAGGTCAACGGCGGCCCCAGCGACAAGGAGAAGGCCCGCAAGCTCAAGCTTGCTGCTGCCCGCAAGGAGCTCGAGGATGCTATGGACGAGGACTCCGAGGAAGATGACGAGGATGAGGAGTTTGACCTGAAGGCTGCTATCTCCAAGCTGGTCAAGGGCAAGGCCCCCGCCACCGATGACGATTCTGATGATGAGTCCGACGAGGGTCTCGAGTTGGATGAGCTGGTGCTCTGTACCCTGGACCCCGAGAAGGTAAGAGCCAAATCTCTGATCATGCCATCTAACAATCCATTGACTCTTCGCCATGTAGAACTGCCAGCAGCCTCTCGACATCACCGTTGGTGAGGAGGAGCGTGTTTTCTTCAAGGTCACCGGTACCCACACCATCTACCTGACCGGTAACTACGTCGTTCCCGCTGATGAGCACGGCCCCTGTGGTTCCGACGACGAGGATGACTACGATGAGGACGACTACGACCTCCCCCCTGGTGAGGAGGAGCTGGATCTCGAGGCTCTGTTGGGCGAGGAGGACGAGAGCGACGACCTCGATGAGCTGGAGGACCCCAGAATCACCGAGGTTGAGAGCGACGAGGAGGCCCCCAAGCTGGTCGAGACCAAGGGCAAGAACAAGCGTGCCGCCGAGGAGGCCAAGCCTGCTGCCAACGAGCCTGCTCTCAGCAAGAAGCAGCAGAAGAAGCTCAAGAAGAACAACGGCGAGGCTGCCCCCGTTGAGGAGAAGAAGGATGCCAAGGAGGGCAAGAAGGTTCAGTTCGCCAAGAACCTGGAGCAGGGCCCCACTCCCTCCGCCCAGAAGCCTGCTGAGAAGCCTGCTGAGAAGACCACCGGCACCCTGGGTGTCAAGGAGGTCAAGGGTGTCAAGGTCGACGACAAGAAGCTTGGCAAGGGTGCTGCTGCCAAGGCCGGCAACACCGTCGCTATGCGCTACATCGGCAAGCTCGAGGATGGCAAGGTCTTCGATGGTAAGTCCCAAACCATATCTCACATCAAGCAATGACTCGACTAACATGTGTGACTGCAGCCAACAAGAAGGGCAAGCCTTTCACCTTCAAGCTTGGCAAGGGTGAGGTCATCAAGGGCTGGGACATCGGTATTGCCGGTATGGCCGTCGGTGGTGAGCGCCGCATCACCATCCCCGCCCACCTTGCTTATGGCAAGCGTGCTCTTCCCGGCATCCCTGCCAACTCGAAGTTGATCTTCGACGTCAAGCTGCTCGAGATCAAATAAGCAGTTTCCTGGGGATGTTTGTTTCCGCCCTTCCGCTTGTTGACCTAGCACCCAGCATCGCTCTGATTGCAGTCTCTCATCCTATTGCATTTAATCTTTCTATTGCTATCATGTCTGTTGGATTTAATTTCTTTCCCAAAAGAATCGGTGTTCCGGGGGTTTTCGAATATATGACTTTTGATTTCTGTGATATCCGACTTGTTTCTTTGCACAGCCGTCCGCTGCATTTGGCAGGGAGGAGGATAGTAACGGAATATCTGTGTTCACAATCTCAAAAAGTGATTGCATATCATCCATCATCCATCATCTTGTCCTTCCGTCGTAGTCATAGCGTTCCTTCCTCGGTAGACGTATATATGGATGGAGTGACTCTCATGGGGGTTGCCTAATCGGGACTGCATCAATCCACGGGCACCTCCTCTCGCTGCGCCAACCTTGCAACTCCCTCATCTCCTCTGTAACTGCATAGGCATTCAACTCAAGAGGCGTTCCATGTCTCGACAGAGTGATGAAGCACATGACGGTGCCTTTCTTTCTTTCGTTTTATACAATAAAGCAAGCAGCACATGTACTTCTATGATTAAGGGTAGGTGCATGACGAGCTCCAGCCCCCCTCATAGTATCAATATCAAGTCGGCCCAATCGCCTCAAGGCAGCTCAGGATGGACGAGAGCTCGCAAACTCCGGATGATAGCCCAACATCTCTCGATATCATGAGCAGTGAAGGATCTACCATCGAGACAATGATGTCAGGTACTCGAAGCTCTGACCCTCACCCGAGTCAGCTTAAGAGCAAGGACAGCGTTCGAGAACGTATCCGTCAACGGAGCTCGAGAATACTGTCACTCCTGGGTCTACGAAACCCTGCGCAAGGTACGTCGCCGCTCGTTCAGTTCTCATGAGTAATTCACCAAGCTAATTGATGGCCGTAGTGTTGAAAGCAGTGGCAGCCCACAACCCAGATGACCCACGAATAGTCGAGGATGACCGCGTCCCCTTACAGACCTTCCACTCTTTTCCTGCTCCTGTCGAGAATGGACAGAACGAAGAGCAATCCGGTCGGATTGCAGTCCTCGATGGATCTCCGGATGCGTCTGAAGGATCAAGCCCGACTGGTAACATTGATTCCAGTTCCAATCACATCAAAGAGTCCGTCGAAAATGTCCAAGCCCACCCAGAGGTGGCCTCAAAACCCTCAGAAGCACCCCTGCAAGCCCCTCTCCCAATCGTGCGACCAAGCCACAAACGTTTATCCGAAGTTTTGAAGCGAAGTCAGTCGACACCGGCAGCTCTCACACATATTGTGTCAACCAAGCTATCAACCACTTTTGGAAATCCTACGGTCATCCGTCGCTCACATCTTCGCTCGCGGCCTAGTTTTCGGCTTCCTCAGTTTCCAGGGCCGTCACTTGTCCCTGCATTGAACAAGCAAGGCGACAGTGCTCAGGATAGCTCCGATCCCCAAAGCTCGCCGGAAGACAGTGTGTCTCCGACTTGTACACGTTCCACTCCTCAGACAACTCCTCCCACGACGCCTCCCACATCAGGAGAGCCGTCAGGAGGCTCGAAGCAAGGCATTGTAGATGCCGAGCAGGCGAAACAAACAAGGTCACCGTCTAGCAGCGACGAGAGTACACATACCCAAGTGATCGAAGGCTCACTCAGTCGGCCGCCCTCGATAATTACAGTGGAGGCTGCTGCCAATGCAAAAGTCTTCTTCGAAACATATTTCAACTCGGTATTTTGTGGGACGGATCTTCGCTCGCAGCGCCAGCATGAGCTTGAGCAGTATATCTATGGCCTTCCTCTGGCTCCTGAAGAAAGGGCGAGAATTTGGGAAACCTGGATCATCCAGGAACGGCAGTATCTGCGCCAATGTCGTGTTCTCAAAAGTCACTCTCGTTGTGGCCGACAGGACGAGACGGTATCTCTCGCTGGATTTGAAGCAATCAAGGTTCTAGGAAGGGGGAGTTTTGGAGTTGTGAGGCTGGTCAGAGAACAGAAAGTGGCAGAACGTGACGGTACCAATGCACATGGGGAGAAGCATTCATTCTGCAAAGGAGAGCTGGCAAAGCTCAAAACCCGGTCTATCTCTGTCATAGATGGGACCACAAGCACACGTCGGAGGATGATGGTAGGGGTCAAGAAGGATGTATTTGCAATGAAAGTGATCCGGAAATCTGCAATGATACGGAACAGCCAAGAAGGTCACCTCCGAGCCGAACGAGACTTTCTTGTTGCATCGGCCAAATCTCGATGGATCGTGCCATTGATTGCAAGCTTCCAGGATCGTGATCATTTGTATCTTATCATGGACTACATGGTCGGTGGTGATTTCCTGGGATTGCTAATGCGCCAGTGCATCTTGCCCGAAGAAATCACCCGATGGTATGTTGCAGAGATGATCCTGTGTATCGAAGAAGCCCATCGGCTATGTTGGATTCATCGCGATGTCAAGCCCGACAATTTCCTCATATCTGCGTCCGGTCATTTGAAAATATCCGACTTTGGCCTAGCCTTTGACGGACATTGGGCTCATGATCAAGTATATTACAATGAGCAGCGATACTCCCTGCTCAGGAAACTCGGGATCCAAGTGGCCGGGGATTCTCAGGACAGAAAAGAAGCTCGCAAGCCGGCAAAGGCATCATTCCATGATTTCGGTCCTGGAACTGAGACTGACTGTACACCACCTACGATGGGCCTGCTTGGATGGCGTGACCGCACTCAGAAGCGGCGTTTGGCCGCAAGCGTCGTGGGAACTAACCAATACATGGCACCAGAGGTTGTTCGGGGTGAGCTATATGACGGCCGATGTGACTGGTGGAGTATCGGCATCATACTATACGAGGTACGATGGTCGTTGAGATGTATGAACAGTGCTAACTCGAGCGCGACAGTGTCTCTACGGCTTCACGCCCTTTGCTTCGCACGATCGTCAGAAGACCAAGATGAAGATCCATGTACGTGGCTGTACGATACCTGAAACCCCTAGTGAAGCTAATCAAGACAAAAGCATCACCATGAGACACTCTGCTTTCCCGCCAGTAGAGCGTCGGACAAGCGGGTTTCGCCTGACGCAATTGACCTTATCAATTATCTGCTTCAAGAAAAGGAGCATCGGCTGTCGTCAAGCAAGTACAAGATTAATGACTCTCTGAGCTCCCGATTACCATCCCGACATTTCTTCTATAATATGGATCATCGCAGTCGAAACTACAAGGGTTTTTACGTCTTCCCAAACGACGCAGCAGATATCAAGATTCATCCTTTCTTCCGCAACATCAAGTGGGATGAGATCCATCAGTCGGTTCCTCCATTCATCCCCAAAGTGAAAGGCTGGGAGGACACCAGGTACTTTGACGATGCAGGATACGAGGGTGACCACGATAATATCTCCATCATGTCGGATCCTGACCACCCCGAAGATGACAGTGAGATCGAAGAGCCGGTTCCAGCTAAAGCCGAAACTCCTCTGCCCCACGATGCGAATCGACATCCCGCACCTGGTCCAGGTCCAGGGCCAGGAGGTAAAGCCTCTCCGCACATGGATCGCAAGAGGAAGGAGCGAAAACGCCCGCGGGACAAGCTTCTGCGTGACCGGCAAATGCGGAGAACAGTGCTCGAGATGCGCAAGAAAGGGGCATTCTTGGGTTACACCTATCGACGTCCCAAGTCCGTGGCCGTAGCCTTAACTCCTGATCGGGGTCGTTACCGTCTAGGGCGAGGCCAGCTGTCGGAACTATATGGCTCGTAGCGTCGTTGGCTGGGTACCCTTTATTTCATGAACCTCGGGAATCAAGAGCGACGAATGTACACGAAAGGCTCATGATGTATTCTTCATTAGACATTTTTATGTGGCAGACATCACTCATCCTTAAGAAGCGAGATATCTTACCGGTATATCTACTTGTACCGGCTGTCAGTCGTTATTGGATATTGATACGATGAAACGAACAATTACTTCTACAGGTTTTGAACAGCTACTTCACAGCCCACAGTAGAGAATATTCTTATTACGACAGAGCAAGCTACTAGCCGCAGGGGTCATATGAACTTGTGCAACCTACGTGTAGGAGAAATGGAATTATCATATGTTATGTCATTGTGATTCAATTTTTGAGATGGTCATTTGCCCAAACGACAGAGATAGTCATGGCTAAAGGGACCATTCTATGTCATGTTGCTTAATCCAGCGCCGCGCCAAGGTAACGCCAATTACATGATCAAGTCAAGCAAAAGCCGAAGTACGAGATGAAAGATGCTTGTTGCTTATGCTTCTAGTCCCGGCAATTTGAATTTCAAACCCATGTGACATTGCGTTGCGAGGTGATCACTGCAACATCGATAGTTCTCAAGCGGCCGTGTGTATAGGGAAACACGTTAGGGTGGAATACCGGAAAGTAGGAGATACAGACGGATTGTTCCGAAAGCCTGATAACCAGGCACAAGCGATCTGCGATGAAGGTGTAGGGAGAGGGGAAAAAGTAGGCGAGAAGCAAGAGCTCTGAAAAGTCTGAGAGTTGGGGGTATCATATGGTCAAAAGTAAGAGATATGGGAGGAGTCGGACGTGGATGCGATTTGGTGAGAAGAGGTGCGGATGTGTCGAGGGTTGACAGAAACCTGTAGGTGAGCGACGGCTATCATTCACAGAGCAGGAGGCGCGCCCATTGCAAAGGCGGAGTCGCTGACTCGATCTTCGGGTTTCATGGTGCCGTTGAGAAGGGGACAGAGTCTGTTTGGCGGTTGTGGGTTCATGTGTTAGCTTAGATTCCTCATTTGGGGTTTTCTGAAGATAGGTCCTTGTCTTCCGATGCGCATCTTGGGGTATGAAGGGGGTGAAAGGATCCTATGCAGTGGGCAGCAGCAATGGGTTGCTGAGCTTGCTTATTTCCGCTAATTGGGAATCCCGGGAAAGGAGGGTCTAGCGTGGGAGCCAGTGCCAGATGCACATCTAGAATCAGGTCCAGGGGTGGTGGTGGGCTTTTTTAGAATGCCTTTTAGGGGGAGTGCCATGCGCCTTCGTCCATCGCCTCCTGTTTTTCCTGCGGCTGTGGGAGCCGGAGTGGAGGTGGACAGAGACGGGCGAGGCGATGGAGAGGCCGGCCAAGGAGAAGAGCGGGGTGTTGAGGAAGCAGTAAAGAACGAGGATTGCGAATCAAATGGGGGGTGAAGACACTCATCCTGGTTGAGAACGCACTTTTTGTTGGTCTTGATATGGCCGACCTGGCCGCAGTTGGCGCATTTGCGTTGTGTGCCAGCGGACTTGCCGGAGCCACCGCCACCGTCGGCGGGTGAATCTCCGGCTGAGGCACGGGCAGCTCCCTTTTGCTTCTCGCGGGCAAAGCGACGCTCCTTGTTGCGGTTGAGACGGCTCAATTCGGCTTCCAGACTGTGGTGGAGTTGAGATGGTTAGTGTGCCCAAGTCCCCAAGGGCCTATAAGGTATATTTAGGGGAGAAGATGAAACATACAGTTTCTTGTTGCGAGCATCGATTTCCGGATCGCCGGTGGGCTGCAAAGAATCCAGTCTGGGACGGTCAGTCAACTTGTCCAGAGCATTGGGAAGGGAAACCTTACTTCGTGCTCAAAGCTTCCACGCGGTGACGGTGTTGAATATAGTGCCGAATAACCTTGGGGTCGAAGACCATCTGTTCCTTTTGATAGAGTTGACCTTTTTCGTCCTTGTATGTCCGCATGATGCGCAGAACTTTGCCTCTCTGGTCTGGCAAGCTCATCCTGCTAAACTGACTGGTCGTCTCGTCGTCGCGCCGATATGGGGCCGGCGTAGGCGCTTCGGATCTGGGTGTCGGCTTGCTGTACTCGGCTTCGTCATCGCGGTCAATGTCGCTCTCCTCATCGGAATGCTCAACGGTCGACGACAGGCTGGCCTTCTGCGCATCCCAGATGCGGCGAATGGACGTTTCGTAGGATTTCTGCTGCCGAGCGACATTGTAGCTGTGGCCACCCAATTCTTTGAGTCTTTGTGCATCGAGTTTATCCTCCACACTCTCACCAACAGCCTTGAATCCACCCTTCATGGAGGTCTTGATGAAGCTGAATCCCTCTCCACGCCCAGTAGGGTCGCCTTCACCGTGTAGTTTGAGCATCGCTTTACCCTGAGAGGCCAGGAGGAAGTTGCGTGTAGCCTTCCAAGGTGCCATTTGCTGTTCGAAGCTCTCGCCTTCTCCATCGTCATCATCGTCGCCGCCAGTCTCGGCATCGTTGCCAAAGCCGGTGTCGTGAAGGTGCTGCTGACCGACCTGCATGGATTCCAGCAGACATACATCCTCCGGTTGCACCCACGACCGAATTACATCCTGCTCCGGAACCGGCTCCATGGGCACCCAGTACTTCGAGTCCTTGTCGTGCTGAAGAAAGTCCTTCACCTTTTGACGGTTCTGCATATCACTGGTGCCGGGAATGTGCGCCGTAACGTCGCTGATGGAGAGTCGGAGATCGGGGCTCTTCTTCAGCAGACGATAGACCAGCATCTTCATACGATTCTTCGCCACCGTGGTGACCTTCCGCGAGTGGGGCCCGGGCACGTCCACCGAAGGAAACTGCTGCCCAGCCACATACAGATTCTCAATGTTCCGGATGTAGTAGTCGCTACCGCCGGAGCCAGTCGTGCTGCGCACGATCAGGAAGTCGTTCGACTTGGCCTGGTGCTGGAACAGCGGTGCGCGATACATTGAGTTGGAGATTGCGGGGGTTATCTCGCCCGGATCGACGTGACCGAAGATTGAGAACGGACTCTTATCTTGAGGGAGCAGGACAACGGTCTCGCCAATCTCTGCCTTCGGGCGCGTGGGGTCTTCCATGCTCTTCCTGCGGTAGTAATTGATGAAGCGGTTAGACATACCGAAATTGGACAGCATGATAGGAACCTCTTCCGAGTATTCGACCAGCAAGACGTTGGAGTTATCAGCCAGGGAGAGGGATTTGGTGGAATCGAAGAGGGCTTTGACGTCTTTGCCCCTTTGATGCTTGCGCTTGATGTACGCGGTGTTTTTGAACCAACATGTCTGTCCCGGCCTGAAAGCAAGTGCTGGACGATGGAACGAGCGAGCTTCGGCCTTGGCCAGCTCCGTCTTGTAGTAAGGCCACTGCAGGCGTAGAGCAGGCATACTGTGTTCCAACGTAACATTGCCCAGAGTGCTTCGGACCTTGTTCTGATGGTTTTGCTTGAGCATATCGTAAGCTTGGTCGTTCGAGATGTTGTACCGTGAGGTGAGACGCTTGGTGACACTGGCGTCCATTTCATCGCGGTTAATGGCGCCCAACGCTTTGGGCTTCTGCGTGGCATTCTCTGGTCCACGCTCATCGAGGAGGATATGAGGGTCGTTCATGTCGACAACCACCTTCTGGGCGATCCGCGAGGTTGCCTGCTCAGGGTCATCGACAATGGGCACATCGATATGGGCGAGTGCCACTACCTCCAATGGATCCCGACCGATTTTGCGTTTCTTCGTGGGACGATTTGTGTCGAGAAGCCAGTCGTCCTCCATGTCGACGTCTTGAGTCTCCGGCTCATCAACTTCCATGATAGAGATATCGTCCTTGACATCCCAATCTGCGCAAACGATCTGAAGGTCATGCAGGGAGACACCGCCAGGCAAAGTATCATCAACGTCCGTATCGTGCTCGAACTCCTCTCGAATCTCCTCCTCGTCCTCCTGCGCAGCCTCCAGAATCGTCACCAAGCCCGAATGCTCGGCTTCATGCGGGCGTTTGAAGACCTGGCCTGCGGCCTTGAACACTCGCTCCTGGTCCTGCGCCAACTCAATGTTGACCTTACTCGGGATCACCGGTTTCGGAGGCTTCAGCGGCTGCTTGCCCAGGAAGAAGGCCTTCTTATGCGGGATCAGCTCGAGGAACCGGGGTAGAGCATTCCGGTCAAACGTGGGGAACAGCGAATGCAGCAGCTCCTCGACGTTCTCCGGCGGAGCAGGCGGGTTGTCCGGCCCGTACGCCGACATGGCGAACAGCTGCTGCTGGAGTTTCCACGCCCGCAACGACGCGGGATCCATATCCTCCGCCGTCGGGCTCAGCGCCTCATCCTCCTGCAGAAGATCCACCTCGTCCTCATCCATGGGCGCCGCCGCCGCGGGCTCCTGTGACAGAGAAGGCACTGGCGCCTCCATTACCGGCTCCGCCGCCGCCGCCGTTGCTGCTGCCGCCACCGATCCCTTCACTACCGGTCGTACTTCATCAGTCGCCGCTGCTGCCGTCGTCTCCTCTTCCTCATCGAAGAACAAGTCTCGCGTGGGATCCGCATGATCGGCGCCCGGCGAGGACGGACCCTCGCCGAAGAGATCGTCCAACTCATCGCGGGGACCTTGCTGTGTATCATCCTCACCCTCCCGGCCGGCAGCACCAATATCATCCTCTTCGCCGCCGCCGCCGCCGCCACCACCAAAAAGATCCTCATCTTCCCCGCCAAAGAGATCCTTGTCTGCGTCTTCATCGCCGAGATCCATCATGCCATTATCGTCGTCGTGGTCGGCAGCAGCGGAAGGGCCCGTCCGCTCTTCTTCTTCGGGAAGCTCATCGTCGTCGAAATCCTCGTAGTCCACGGCGTCGTCGGCCTTCTCACCGGGCTCCAGATCGCGCGACAGGAAATCGAAGGACATGGCGCCGTCCCCGAGGGGGCCGTTCATCTGTCGCATCACATTTTCGAAGACCGAATCTTCGGTCTCAGGGACCGGGGGCTCGGTCGCATGAGGCATTTTGACGGCGAAAGTGTGGTTGTGATCGTGGGTGTTGTTGAGAGAGAGAGAGAGAGTTCGGCTGGTGGGGGATGGAGGAGGGATGTCACGCGTTCGGGCGCATCGGGGCCGGCTCTGTCTACCAGAGATGGTGACCGACCTGGGAACGCGTAAAATT